TTTCTTGCAGATAATATGTAAAAACAGTTGATCGACTAAGTTTTATTTTCATCGCATCCTTTTTATGTAAGGTAATCCTTCTGTCTTACAATTCTTGCGTATAGTTTATTTATAAATTATGTTTCAATCAATATAACAATTTCATAATATCAATATAATAATTTATATTGACAATGAAATTATTATATCTTATTATTATATAATTTATTTGCTTTTATTATTATATATATTATTATATTATAACAATTTATTTTTTACTTAATATATTAAATAAATATTATGATTAATATATACTTTATATTAATTATAATATTTTAATGATGTTATCAGACATTCCAAATAAAAGGATTTTTATCTGAAACATCGATACATAATAAAACAAAGAATAATGAATCTCAATATTTCCTTCCAATACATGACAATATCTTAATCTCTTTTCATAAACGATACATGTTACATCTATTATTTAGTGGATTAAGATGTATGTGTGCACATGTGTTAATAGATTTTATTAACTAATACTGGACATAATTATGCATGTAACGTTAAAATGCAAGCTGAAATGATAAGGTATATAATTTCTATAAAATGATTAAAGTATTATTGAACGAAATACAGTGGGTAACATTTTTTTGTTATAAAAATTCGATAAAAAAATGACAGTCAAAAAAAGTTTCTAAAGAATTTGAAAGAATTTATATGAATCAAGTATATTAAAACAAACATTTTTTTTCTTATCTTTTATCCGTAAAGGCAAAAAATTATACCGTACGAACTTTATGGAAATTGGTTTTCTGTCGAATTGGCTAAATTTTGAATATGTTGTAATTCTCATCATTCTGAACAATTGTCTTTGTGGGACCAACCTCTTTCAATAGCTAATTTTTGTATTATAAGTTCTGGAAGATTCAGATTCAAGCCATTCTTTAAAAATTGGATTTTTATGTATTATTAATATTATATTATTATTGATAGACAATAATAAACGATTTATTAACCTTTAGACTGTCGGCATTTTTTCATTAAAATAGTGATTCTTTTTTCTCAAAAATTTTTCTATATAAGTAACATACACATGGCGCAAAATTTCGAGATTTGTAGAGCCACAAAAGTGGCTTTCTCAGTAAGGAATATATAATCAAATATAAAAAATGTTTATTTCCTCAAAAATAGTGTATTTTGAGGGTTTTTGGTATCGCTGTGTGATTACAATTCTGAGTATAGATTTATAAAATTTCAAGCCCTAAGCGCAATATTGACTTATATTGACAATATAAATGAATATAAACGTATAGACTTAGAACTTTCCTTCAGCATTACCCAGAGCTAACGACGTGAATGTAGAAAGTTTGTAGCTCCTTTTTGATTTCTTTTTTATTCGATTTTTTTTTTTTTTTTTTACTTTTTTCTTGTTTTATAATTTT